TTCTCATTATCCTCTTGTCTGATTTGTAATACATTAAATTTTTTTTTCCCCCAAGTCGAGTCTGTTTTGCCCGTGCCAGTGACTGGTGAGTGATCTCTCTCTGTCCTTATCTCCACCCACGAGCCTTTTGTTATATTTTTCTCTCCCCTGCCCCACTGAGGAGGGGGAGTGATAGAGTGGGCTTTGGTGGGCATCTGGCATCCAGCCAGGGTCAACCCACCACACCATTTCTGCCAGTCTTGCAGTCAGATTTATTCAGAATGCTGAACAGAGGTGTATTTTAAATTTCTATTGTAAATGTTTTGTCAAGAGTTATGAGAAGACAGATACCAACCTGCTCTAAACTAATTCTGGAAGGCAGCCTTACCTGTTGTGCTGCTGTAACCTTCATTTTGTTTGGAATGTGCCTGCAGCAGAAGGTCAGGTGAAGATGAGGAATCACTCATGGTACTGAGACATTCAGATGCTAAAAGGAAAATAATGGAATGCTGTGACAAGTGTTTTTCATGATCATTGTTGTTTTCATAAACACATTAAAAAATAATCACAAAGTCTTTGGCACTTTAGACAACGTTGGAAAGCTGTCTACGTAACCATGAGGGGCTCAGTACATTCTGCATGGGATGTTTTGCTTCGCTGGGCAATGGGGATCAAAATGCTTATCTTGTGATTAGTTCTTTCTTGTTCTCTGGCAAACTGAGCAAAATAAGCCACAAAGGGCTAACAGACAATCCAACACAGGTCTTCTGGTGATTGGAAAATGATGAAATACGGGAATTAGAGGGGGTTTGATAAATCCCCATGGAGGACTATTCTCCTGATGTGATTCTGTGTATGACTTTAATTTCACTGTGTGATTTCAGTAACGTGTCAGGGCTGCTTTTCAAACAGAACTGAAGTATTCCTCTCAATGCTGTAAAGCCCAAACCTAAGATGATGGTTCCTGTCACCAAGTCACCACTTTCCTTCTATATCCTCCAAACTACCCTCAGCCTGCATGTTTCCTATTCCATGTCAGTTTTTCCCTAGTCCCTAAGGTGCCTCTCTTACCACTGAGTTTCAGAATTCCATCTGCCATTTTTTTTTCCTACAGTAATACTAATCTTTTTCTAAACCTGACCTCCTTGATTCTTGCTTATCCACCCCTAGCTATTGTTTATTCCATTTAAGTAGTTCTTGAGCATTTTGCATCCATCCATCCACCTCTCATTCATAGCACAAGTCTTCAGCTTTGCATCTAAGGCCTGTGGTGCTTCCACATTCCATGATGTCTGCAAAGGCTCCTTTAACACACTAAATATAAAGTGTCATAGACCACATTTATATTAGTGACTTTACAGGAGCATTCCCAGATACTGGAAGATAAGCGCAGGCAGTTAGGTTGAGCGAGGTGATTCTAACCCTCTACTCTGCTCTGGTGAGACCCCACCTGCAGTGCTGTGTCCAGCTCTGGGGCCCCTAACAGAAGAAGGACATGGACTTACTGGAGCGAGTCCAGAGGAGGCCACGAGGATGATCAGAGGGCTGGAGCACCTCTCCTGTGAGGACAGGCTGAGAGAGTTGGGGTTGTTCAGCCTGGAGAAGAGAAGGCTCCGGGGAGACCTTCTAGCAGCCTTCCAGTACCTGAAGGGGCTCCAGGAAGGCTGGGGAGGGACTTTTGACAAAGGCAGGGAGTGACAGAACAAGGGGTGATGGCTTTAAACTGGAAGAGGGGAGATTTAGATGAGCTATGAGGAAGAAATTCTTTCCTGATGAAAGGAAAGAATGTGAGGGTGGTGAGACACTGGCCCAGGTTGCCCCCTCCCTGGAAGTGTTCAAGGCCAGGTTGGATGAGGCTTTGAGCAACCTGGTCTAGTGGAAGGTGTCCCTGCTGATGGCAGGGGGGGGGTGGAACTAGATTCTCTTTAACTTCCAACCCAAGCCATTCTCTGATTCTATGATAATCTGTACTGTTAACTTGTTAGAACACTGGCTTGATATTTACTGTGCCACCTAGCAGTCTCCCCAAAGATACTCTCAGGTACACAAGTTTTGGTGAGGGAAAAGGCCATTTTGTTTTGGGAGACTGAATTTACACAGCCTACTCCCTGCTCCTGTGGCTCCATGTCAGGGAATGCTGCTGGGTATGTTTCATGTATCAGAATAGATACAGCCATGGTGGTGCAAGTAGTTCATGTGTCAAAATGACTGGGAATGCATGGGGTCAGGTAATGTAATCTTAAATTTAACTGCAATATGAAATGAGTCACCTGGATAGAACAATGCAGAAGATACTAAGATGTTACCAGACAGTAGAGCTCAAATTACCTCCGCTGGGTTTTTTGATTGTCTCTAGAGGGAAATGCACACTTTCTTTTTTTTGAACTGGAGGAAGTGCCATAGACAATGCTTCCACATCAGGAAACTAGAGAAAAGTAAGAAAGAGGGCTTAGATCTCCCAATCAAACACTTAGAAAAAACACAGCAGACATCCCCCTCCCCACTCCAAAAAGGGCGGGGGGGGAGAAAGAAATTTTAAAAAGGGATGCAAATGAAACTAATAAGAAGAACACAAGTGGTAACTATAAAAAAAGATATAGATAAGTACACTTCAGATTCCAAGCTACAATTTTGAGTTTGCACTTACAGCTTTTATTGGGTGAGATTACAACTGGAAAGTTCCCAAGGACATGTTTAACCCAGGAAGATTAGTTTTACTAATTCCCTCTCTAGGCAGCAGAGAGAGGTTTTTGAGGGGTAAGTGAAAAGACCTGAGGTGCAGCTTCTGCTCTGAATCAGATTTATCTCCAGAGTTTATGTAAGGAATATACAGAGTTGTACTCAATAAACATAAACCATCTCCAGTATATGTTTCCTTTGACAAGGGCATATAATTCCCAGTGTTAATACTGTCACGACTGTCCTCTGTAATGCTTTCTTGAAATAAATTGAGGCTGAGAAGTAAAACCACTGCTGTCTTTGTGAGACCATGACAGAAACTGTCTGGCTTAACACAAACAACTCATCGAGTTTTCAGCTACGTTACCTTTTTTGAGAAAAACTCCTTGCCAAATTCTGATTTGAAATACGGAGGAATTATTTTGTTTCTTATTGCCATCAAAGTCTTCTTTCCTTCATCAAGTTCTTTCCTAAGAAATGTTGAACATTGTTGGTAAGGAAAAGAAAGCAAAAAGGATTACAGCTGAGTTCACCTGGTTTTTCAGTGCTATGTCTGGAACACTGAGGAATGGAAGGGATAAAGGCAAGTGGCTCACATTGAGTGATATTTTTCCCAGTGACAGATCAAGAACGGGCTGGTCTGGTGCGCAGAGAAAATGTCCTCGTCAGATACTGATTTATGGAGGAGCTGATCAAAATGCATATGGACTGAGCGTTGGCTGCTAGGAAGAGCTCCATCCTAAAACATGCTCCACTTCTCTAAATCTCGTGGAACATGTCTGAGACTGCGCCAGTAGTGTCCTTCCAACCTTCCAGAAAACATTTAAATTTCTGAACTGGTATTTCAGATGCACTGCTAAAATTTATAATACAAAATTAATCTAATATCCTTATTTTATCACAGAAAAAATGGATGGCTCTGTAGATAAAGATGTTCAAACTTCTGAACAGAAGATTCACCAGAGTGAGGGCCAGTTATATTTTCAGCTTGGTTTAGTCCAACCCTAGTTAATCCTAGTTCATGTGTCAGGTTTTCTATTTCAACATAAATTAAGTGCATATTTTTAATTCTTTAAATTTAAACAGTCATGCTTGGAATACACTGAGAAATTTCACATTCTATCAGATTCACAAAGCCCTTTCCTATAGAACTCAAAATTATAATGGTTTTAATGCACAAGGCTTAAATAAGAAGTTTTGTGTGGTATTACAGAATTATATAATGAAGCAATATAATTAAGTATCTCCATAGAACAAGAGTCTGTAAATTTATTTTCCAACACACTCATATTTTTTCTCAACTAATAGTGGCTTTGCAATTACTCCTATTTTTCAAATGCTTTTGTGAATTACCATATCTACATATTGAAATCCAGTGATTTTTGATTTACACCTGGTCAGAAACTCTCATGAAAAATAATCTGATTGTGAAATGTACATTTTTAGCAATATATGCTGTTTCAAAGCATCTATATAGATTTTTTTTCTTGAACTCATCAAACAGCTTCACCATTCATCAGTGGCATATAAAGGGCAATTTTTTAGAAACTTGAGAGCAAGTGAAGTAAAGGTAATTAGAATTAAAATTAAGGGTCAGCCTTAAATACAACTTGCATGTTCAAAAGATTTTTATGTGTATACACATACACACATGCACACACACATTTCCTTCTGTAAAATCACTTCTAATCTGAGGATTGTAGCACCTGCCTCAGGACTCCCATATGAAATACTTTACAATCAGGAAACTGAGGTACGGGTCATTCCCAAACTAGAATGTTCCAATGTGGCAAAATGAGCCTTGTTTTAGTAAGGCACTGGTTTTTAAGATAACCCTAATCTTAAGGTTCTTTTTCGAGATAATGAATTTACCTACTGTCCACATGTTTTACCTCCTAAAATGTCCCCAGAAATGCAGCTGCATTTCCAAGGTGTAAACGATGAGTGCATCCTGCACTTCATAGTGCACTCCACAACAAAGCAAGGAGGGAGAGAACCCTCAGCAAGCAAGTGAGGAAGTGGTGGACATGGTAGGCAAGCAGAACTTCTGGGGGGATGGGAACAGAAGGGACATCACAATCAACAAAACAGGGCTGAAGTGGGGTCACACCAAGCATATGCATGGAAATACAGAAATGCCTTTGGGATGGGATTATGGGGAAAGCTTCCAGACCTGTTCTGGGCAATCAGCACAGCTGGGTGCCTCTCTGCAATGCCTGGACACTACTGCAGGCAGCACAGGTAACACACAGGAGGAATCCCAAGTCTGCGTGCACTCCTAGGGCTATGACCTCACTGGGCTCACAGAGAAGAGGTAGGATAGCTCATGGGGCTGCACTGCTGTGCCGGATGGACACAGGCTCTTTAGGAAGGACAGAGCAGGAAGGCAGGGTGGGGAAGTTGCCCTGTATGTAAGAGAGCAGCTGGAAAGCATGGAGCTCTGCTTGGGGATAGGTGATGAGCGAGCTGAGAGCTTATAGGTTAGGAATAGTGGGGCAGACCAACATGGATAACACTGTTGTGGGTATCTGCTATAGACCAGCTGCTCATGAAGAAGAGGTAGATGTGGCTTTCTTTAAATAACTGGAAGAAGCCTCATGTTCATAATACCTGGTCCTCACAGGGGACTTAAGCCACCCCACTCACTGCTGGAAAGCAGCTCTGCAGAGAAGGACCTAAGAATCCTGGTGGACACCAAATTGAACATGAACCAACAGTGTGCCCTTGCAGCAAAGAAGACCAGCAGAAAGGAGGTGAACCTTTCCCTTCTACTTAGCACTGCTGAAACCACATGTGGAGTACTGTGTCTGTTTCTGAGCTCCCTGATACATGAAAGGGCCACAAAGATGATTAAGGGCTTGCAGGATCTTTCACATGAGGAGAGGCTGATAAAGCTGGGACAGTTTTGCTTTGAGAAGCTTTGAAGCACTACCATGTGACAGACGTGTCTGGGATTCTATTTGAAAAATCAGCTGGGATTTGTGGAATACCTGAATCTTAATCTAAAGCATCAGCACTTGAAAATATTAATATAAATTATTTTCCATCCTGGTGGTAGAACCAGAAAACAGAACATAAGGCTTCTGACTTCAGCCTTGTTTTGCATAGCATAAATTAACAGTAACACTGCTGGGTTTTGAAAAATTGAGAGAGTCAAACCATCCATTCAGCATTTCTATTGCAAGAACACTCCATTTTGCTAGCAAACCATTGGACCATTAACTGAGACCTGGTGAAATCAGTAAGAGTCTTTCTAAAAGCAGGCTTGAGTTGGTTTATGAAATAACTTTCTGTCCTACTAATACTATTACCTGTGCTCTTCTAGTCTACTTTGCCACTTGGACACTGGTGTTACTCCTTCTGGGCTGAATGATCAGGAAAGAAAAGAAAAGTAGTGAAAATGAGAAAACTAGCATAATATTCTATAAGCACAAAATATTTACAAGATAACTCTGGAAAGGAAATGCTCTTTATGACAGTACATTATGTTAACATCTCAGGTGACTCCTGACTTGGATTTGTATGGTTTGCACAAGATTGTTCACTCATACTGCTTTTTAAATTTTTTTTATATTATTATTCAATCATAGAAACCCTCAAAAGCCTTTCCCAACAAACTTTAAAGTATCTTTCAGACAAGAAAAGAGAGGCACAGAGGGACAAACTAATCACACAAAAAGCTAGTAAAACGTTGTGATATTTATCTAGAGATCTAGGTCCTGGTCCTTAATGACAGTCTCTGAAGTACATTGCCTTCGAGTGTCCTTTGAGTTATTTACATTTGCATCAGTTCTCACTGGTCTGTCCTACCTGAACCTTTGCTGTCGGTCCTCTCTTTGTGTAGTGATTGTCTTCTCTGTATGACACCGGTGATGGGAAGCCACTGCCTGTTCATACAGCTCAGTTATGCGAGCTGCAAGGAAAAGAGTTTTATTGAATGTGCATGTTCTGCTGAGCACTGATAAGTTTTATGAATAAAAAACATGAAGAGATATATTTTTAACGCATCTTTCTGTCACTTGATGAAAACCTAACAGATGCTTTATTAGTGTGAGGGAAGAGGCAGATAAATTCACCTTTATGTTCATAGGATCATAGAATGGTTTGGGTTGGAAGGGACCTTAAAGCTCATCTAGTTTCAACCCCCCTGCCATCAGTAGAGACACTTTCCACTAGAGCAGGTTGCTCAAAGCCTCATCCCACCTGGCCTTGAACACTTCCAGGGAGGGGGCAGCCACAGCTTCTTTGGGCAACCTGTGCCAGTGTCTCACCATCCTCACAGGAAACAATTTCTTCCTAATATCTCATCTAAACCTGCCCTCTTCCAGTTTAAAGCAATTACTCCTTGTTCCTATCACTACCTGCCTTTGTCAAAAGTCCCTCCCCAGCTTTCTTGTAGACCCTTCAGGTACTGGAAGGCCGCTATAAGGTCTCCCTGGAGCCTTCTTTTCTCCAGGCTGAACAGCCCCAACTCTCTCAGCCTGTCCTCATAGGAAAGGTGCTCCAGCCCTCAGATCATCCTCATGGCCTCCTCTGGACTCGTTCTAACGGGTCCATGTCTTTCTTTTGTTGGGGGCTCCTTCTTTAAAAATACTACAGTACCTTAAAAATTACTATAAAACTTACTATATTTTTATAATTTTAAAAGATATAGATATTCAATTTTTATTACCTCTATCATTGAGATTTTCAGTTGACTTCTCCCAGTTAGGGAAGGACTGCAATGAAAAAGGAATAACTGTGACCATGTGAGAAACAGACCTCACAACAACAGCATCCTGTTCAAAGGATTTCCATCCTAAAAAAGTGTTGCCTTGTAATCTGAGAATGTGACTACAAGAATGGAGGTATTTCAGTATGCTAGAAAACACGAACTGGGAAAAAAGGAAATAAAGTACAATTTCCCTGATTTCAACAGGTATTTGTTTCCTTCATGATGACCTGCTCCACATATGGCTTTGTATTTTATATGGTTGCTGTTTATTAAATCAACGGAGCCAGTTCATATTCAAACTCAAGTACTGCTGCAGAGGATTTGAACCGGATCTAAAACTGATGGCCACAAGAAGTTGTCAAATGGGAAACGTGTTCAGGAATTTGTATGCTTCATTACTGAGGAGCTCTCTTGTGGTTTGTTTATAGTAAAGCATTTGAGGGGTAAAAGACTCTAAACTAAGCTGCTTCCTTTATTTGCATGCTGTCCTCGAAGCAGTTAACTGGAAACTAGAGTTCCTGTGACCAAGCAGTCTAGGTTGTAACAAAGCTGAGAAACAGTGGAGACTTGTGGTACCGATTCCTGGGTCACAGCAGGTCCACACTGAGACGCTACTGCTCAGAAGACAGTTGTCCAAATTGAAATCTGTACCTGGAAATGTGCTCATGGCAGCTGGAACAACCAACAATAGTCACTAGACAAGTCTATTGGAACTGAGCAGCATTTGAGATACAGCACCGGGATCTCATCAAAGCAAAAAAATGTCTGCCTAGGATAGAGGCAGATGGAGTTACTGATCCATCACCCCTCTGTGTTCCTCTTTCCATAAAGGTTGTGAGTTCCTTCCTGTTTTTTTGCTAGATACTTTTCTACTCTCCTTTTAAAACTTGGATGTTACTTGAAAGTACTGAGCAAAACCATTGTAATATCAAGAAATATGCTTTAATTTCAGCAAATGAAAATGCTAACTTGGCTAAAAGGTTCAGAGACAAATTCTAGAATTACATGGGGTCTTTTAAGCTTGTAAGGAAAAATAATAGTAAAGTTATAGATCTATCCAGAAAGCTAAGAAAAGGAAATAAACATCACTGAAAACTGGAAAGATCTCATGCCTAATGTTTTTGCATGTTGAGACAAGGTTTAAAAGGTAAACTGGAAGGCTAAGATGATGTTTGTTTGCTAGAATATACTCACTTCCAAAAGGAGATAGATCATCCACTAATATTCATCCTGGTAGTGAAAATTTAAACTAACATGGCTAGATCTAATTTTTCAAATGCCAGATTTTTAAATTCAATGTCTGAATTCACTATGTGAACTAAATGGAAGTAAAAGTAGTTTTTAAATGAGACTAAAAAAGAAAACAGTGTTTAATAGCTACTAAAAATCTAGCATGTGAATTCACATCATGTAAGGTAGAACCTGTAGGAAACAAATAATTTAAATAACTGAAATAGAGCAAACTAATCACTCTTTACATAAGATGTAAACAGTGTTTCTCTCATTCATCCTAATTCATTCCACTCACTTTTGCTGCTTGAATTTTTCTAATTCTTTTTACCACTCATCTCCCACTAATCTCACTGTTTCCTGACTGCTACCCTAAGTCCTTCTTTCCTTATTTTCCCCACCCTTCCCATTCCCTATTCCCCTCCCTTTTCTTTTCATGCTCTAATTAGCTGTGCAGGTTAGGAGAGCACATCTTCCAAAAATATAAACGCTGCTCAGCAGTAATAACAATAAGCCTCCAGACTGTTTTTGAATTATCCCAAAAGCAGGGTTTAAACTTTCACTATGGAGGTGGCTGTGGTTGAAATACAAGTCTCCCAGCTGCAATGACAACAGACTGGAAACATTCTCATCCTAATGTTGAGGCGGGGTACACACATTTCAGTCATTTTGGCCTGTGTGTTTAGGAACATATCGCTCCATACAGCCAAACTCTTAAACTGTTTTGCGCGTTGCTTCCCCAAAATAGCAGTGGTGCCATTCAGTAGCCCAGCTGGATACTGAGTGTGGCCCTGCTTTATCAGTGAGCTACAGCAGAGCTGGCACTGTGCTATCCTAACATTTGTTGTTTTATTAACAGATAATGATGCGTTTTAAGGCTGACACTCCAATGCCATACAATGGTTCTGATGGAAAAAGTAGTTAAAATCTGTATTTTTCTCACCATAACCAGTTCAAGGAGACTTGCAGCATTGTCCTTTTCCTCTTCTGTTCTTGGTTCTTTTACATTCATCTCTTCCAGCTCATTTTCCTGCTTTAAAATGTTGTTTATATATTCCTAGTGAAAAAGAGCAAGAAAGATGCAGATGCTTTCTTTGCAGAAGTAGACTTAAAGGGCACATGTATAGATAGAAGTTTGTAGAAGTAATGGATGTAGATAGTTCTTCTCAATGTCATAAAGGCCTCTTCTGTAAATTCGTGTGAATGGTTTATATACATATCTAAAAGTTTGTATGGAGAAATAGTTTTATAAAAAAACAACAGGTCAAAGAGAGGAGTACATGCTGAGAAGGTAGCAGGTGAAAGCTTACCAAGGACTGATCAACTCTGAAGACCAGCAAGACTATTGAATCTGCAAGAACTAATATACAAAGGACCCCAAGAGTCTGCTGAATCTCTCCCAGGCCCCTAGCACACATCAGCATCCTCCATGAACTGGGTGACTTGGGCCACATCCAACAGCTATCTGCATGTCCCTGGTGTGCCACTGTGACTCCCTGCTTCTGAGCAGGCAAGCATATTTGGCCTCCTAACTGTTGCACCAGCCAGGCAAGTATGAGTGAGTGCGAAAGTGTTTGAGTAAACTATGTGAGTGAATAAAGGAATGTGTTGAGTAAATAGCTGCTATTAATAATAATAAATTATATTATTAAGATCAGCTTAATGGATAAAAGGTGTTCTAACAAATACTGTTTGTGATCTTATCTCCCTCCTATTTGATCTCCTATTAGGGAAAAGGAAATATACAACATCAGATTTGAAAAATTATGTTCAGGAAAAAGTCTGATGCTCTGTTTTTAGACAGAAGTTTACTTTGCCAGAATCACACCAAGTAGTGCAGAAAAGAACGCTTGTCTTTCCCCACACTTCTTTATGCTTTAGAAGATCAGCTAGATGGAAAAAAGGGAACTTACAGAAGGTTGTCCTAACACAGCACTTTGCTAGAAAGCTCCATGCAGTACTGAGCTTTATGAATGGACAAGGGTTGCAGAAGCAATCTGGTTCCAGTTCCAGTTCTTTTTCATTCCTTCACACCTCTTAAATCTTGGAGGAGATGGAGAAAGGAAGAATACCTTTTTCTTTAGGTCTTGATTTAGTTCTGACAAAGTGAATATTTGGCTAAAGATTTAAGATACCTCTTTCTGAAAAACACCCCATGAATTAAATATTGATATATGAGCAATGAGGATATTTCCATTGCAGAATTAATGCAGTTACTACAGATGTCTCCTTGCTGCCAATAATTGCAATTCTTCCTTCCAATGTAAGAAACAGCGTTCTTTCTTTCTCTCTAAAAGCCAACAACAGATCCACTCAATGGAAAGACTTAACTTGGGGTTTTGTAGAGGAACTTTTAAAGTGTTGCCTTTGAAAGATCAGTATGCAAATTAAAGAATCTTTGTTATATATATATAGACCGTAAATGGGGTAAAATTTAATTCTGATAGACTGGCATGTCCTAAACATGCCAGAGCTGAACAGCTGTCAGTGTTTGAAATGTAATTAAGAAACCCAAGCCAACAACAGATCCACTCAATGGAAAGACATGGGGTAAAATTTAATTCTGATACACTGGCATGTTCTAAACATGCCAGAGCTGAACAGCTGTCAATGTTTGAAATGTAATAAAAATACCTCCAACAAACCTCTATCTAACTGGCTACTGCTACTACCTTCACATATTTCACATATGTGAAACACATGTATTTTGTTATTCTCTAATTGGTAAGTAATAATGAGTTTTTAACTCTAAAATCTCTTCTAAGAGCATCTTCACAATGTGAATTAAATAAATCAATGTTTGTACCAACACTGAGAAGTGCAAAACTGCTGACAAGGATCAACTGCAGAACTTTCAGGTTCCATCTCAGAACACTTGCACATGAGGTGTAGCTTGCACCTTGTTATGAACCAGTCACTGGTTCATCCACCCACCAGGGATGGACACACACTTTGTCAGAAGGCTCCATTGCTATTTGCTAGACATGGATAGAATGACAGAACTCAGAATTGAACCTGGAAATGTTCTGTACTGATTTATGAAAACAAATACAAGCTTAGAATGTGCCTCAGTGATCTGGTCACCAAGTTAACTGTAGAATTATGGTGGGTTAGAAATTCTTGTACAGCTTTATAGATTTAAGGTTTTAAGGCTTTGTGAAGGAAAACAAAGCCTAAGCAAAGCAAAGGCAAAACCAAAGTAACAGATATCAATATTGACAGAAACCCCCGTATTTGTTACTGTACTATGTGTGATGTATACTGGACTGGATCCCACGTGCTTGCACAGAAAAGTAGGTTTCACAAGAGATGAGTGAAAACAGTTGAGCTGCTTCAGAAATACACTTTTCTTAGAGCACCTGTCTATGTATGAAATGCTAACTGTTCTTCAAATGTAATAGATTTTTTTTTGTCTCAGGTATTGTATTGGGTCTGGCTGAGATGGAGTTAATATTCCCCATAGCAGCCCTCAGAGTGCTGTGTTTTGTATTAGCAGCTAGAAAGGTGTTAATAACACACCAGTGTTTTGGTTACTGCTGAGCAGTGCTAGCACAGCACCAAGGCTGGCTCTCCAACACTTCCTCCCCACAAGTAGGCTGGGGGTGGGGAAGGTCTTGGGAGGGGACACAGCCAGGACAGCTGACCCAAACTGACCAAAGGGATATTCCATACCATATGACGTCTGCTCAGAAATAAAGGCAAGGGGAATGGAGGGGGAAAGGAGGGCATTTGTTATTTACGACATTTGTCCTCCGGAGCAACCGCTATGCACATACTGAAGCCCTGCTTCCTGCGAAGTGGCCAGATATCGCCTGCTGATGGGAAGAAAAGAATATATATTTTGTTCTTTTGCTTCTGCGTGCACAGTTTTGCTTTGTTTCTATTAAACTGCCTTTGACTCAACATACAAATTTGTTTTTTTTCTTTTCCATCTTATTTTCTCCCCTCCCCATCCTGCTGAGGAGGGGGGTAATAGAGCAGCTTGGTAGACACCTGGCATTCAGCCAAGGTCAATCCACCACAGGTATATACTGCAAATTCAAGTCACCAATTTGCCTGTTCTCTGTTGCTTCCTGTAAGAAAGAATAAACGTGATTGTACTACCTTGAGGGAAAGCTGCAGCTTTTCTCTTAGTTCATCACTGAGTGGCTCATACTGGAATAGCTGACGGATTTGCAGTTTATTAGGACATTTTCGCACAGGCACTGGCAAGGACGTCTGCTCTTTGGATCCAATGCAGAGACCCCTCCAAATAGGTGTTCTCACTGAGGGACCTGTGATCTTCCTCTGAACACAGACAAGAACAAGCAAAAAGAAAAGGAGGCTACTTGTATTACTGACTAAATGCAGGTATCAGCAATGTGTGTCTCAGCTGAAAAGCACGTGCTCTCCTTATAGCATCACACATCTAGACAATAAAGTCAGTAGATTCTTAGGTACAATTTATCTGTCCTAAAACCTTCATTAGGCAAGATGAACTCCCCTTCAAATAGCTGTATCACCTTACTGAGAGTAAAAGAAGCCCAAGGTGAATACATTTTCCCTGACAGCCTACCTCTTGCTTTGCCTGCTGAATAAACTGAACTTGACAATGTCACAGTGTTTAGAGCTCCCTTTCCCCTCCATGACAAACATGTATTGCATAAGCAGGAAAAGATAATTTTGAAACAACTATACCTCAAGAGGAGAAAATGTGTCATTGGTCTGTGACTGAAGATTTAGAGGAACAATGCTCTCTGGTTCTTTCTTCATCACCCAGGGGGAGGCTTCAGCCAAAGGGCAGAGGATAGTAATACTTAAAACACCTGGTTCAAAGACACATTTTGCTAAGAATCAGTTAAATTAAAAAAAAAAAAAAAGATGGATAAGCATCTCAGACCTCCAGAAAAATATGCTTACCTAAGTATAAAAAACCTTATTATCAAGTGGTAAAAATCCATGTGAAAATGTTATATTCATGGCTACAGAAAATATCAGATCACTGAGGTGATTACAAATAGTCGGACAAGTTTAGATTACTCAGACCATCTTTAACAACAGACTGTCTCTGCTATGCTTTGAGTTTTGGGTAACGGCTCAGTTGTATAGTGTGTGGAATATCCCAAATAAGGAAAAGCAGACCATCAACCCATGTTTTCTGAATATTAATCTCAGAAGTAGTACATCACATTCAGAACATGCATAATTCTTCACTGTATTTTATATTTCACAATCTGATCACTGGATGGATTCCATAAGAGATTATTTATTATCTCTTTTTATCGTTCTTTAAAATATTTTTTCCAACCCAACCCAAAAATCTACTTCATCTGCTATTATCTATCCCATAGGTGGCCTTCAAAATTGATATCGCCACTGAGGTACTTTGTCAGAAGGATACAAAATTGTGAAGTCTTGGTGTCAAGGCAAATAGAGCCAATATTGAGAAAGGTAGAGTATGAAGTCTGGAAAAGGAGACATGTGACTACTACAAATGACTGTTGGTTGTGAGCAGGTTTTCTTGACTGGGATTTTCACTGGGTATATATCTTCTCCATCTTCCTGACCTTTCCACCTTCTCTATCCTTCTGTCTTTCTCAGTGTCCCTCCTCTTATCCTTTTCCCATGGCAAAATTATTTCATTCAGTTTATACAATGGAGAACCAGTCATTATTGTGAATAGATGCAGCGTTTAAAAATGTGCAAAACTGGGAAGAGTAATAGGTGGGAAAGCTGTTCCCCATGCTTATGATAGAAACCTTTGAGAAGAACGTCTTAGCGCTTTACAGCTTGAAGCAAACTATCCTTATCATCACCCCATATCCAGGGGAAACATATGTTCCTGTCTTTTTAAAGATATATTTATTTTCTTAGTATCTACCTGTAATGCCACAGTGTATTTTATAGAAACACAGTATCTCCAGGTAACTTTACAAGGGTAACCAACCCTTTCAGGATGAAACTTCCTGCATCGCTACTGTGAGGTGTTTGGTGCCACGTACTATTGGAATCCCCTATTTCAGTCATATTTTTCCAGCTTCTTAATAAAATATGTTTATCCTTTCCAACATCCAGGCTAAGGGTGAACATCAGCATATCATTGTTTTTGCTGATAAGTAGAGCTATATCATTAATGAAGACTGCAATACATTCAGTGTTTTTTCACGGTAAATACACAGAGAATCTATGCACTTCGTAATCGCATTTGTCTGCGTGTCTCAGAGTGGATAATGATATGCCAGTTGTTTGTTCACTTATCCCTTCACAGTGTCATTCATTTAATTCTCTGCTCCCCAGAGTTTTCCCACGCACTCCTTCTTCCCCCTGCTTCACTGCTAGAATTGGGGGCACTTGTCTACATTGAGAAAAAACCTCAAATTTCCTGTCCAAATAACAGTTTTGAAACTTCTGACTCCACCTTTGTAATTATTGCTGTTATTAGCTTGTCAGGAAAAAAAAAAATAAATTCCTACCTGGACATTCTTGTACAGGATCCTGCAAGACAGCAGCAGCGGGATCACTACGGGCCTTGGCCAGATACTCATGTACTTCCTTGCTCCGCAGGAGCTCGGTTCCAGAACCATCCGAGTAGATGATGAAGAACCTACACAACCAGCCACACACTTTGGATTGTATCAGACATAGGAGGCAGGCTGTTGGCAGTGGGGGACTGCAGGGGTGGCCTCTGTGATGAGAAGCTGGGGCTGCCCTGTGCCAGACAGACAGCTCCTGCTGGCTCCAACAGACCCACTGCAGGGCATGGCTGAGACCCTCAGACAAGATGGTGCCACCACTGGGCGCATATTTAAGAAAGGGCAAAATGCTTCACAGGCAGTGAGGAGTGAGGGAAAAAGTGTGAAAAACAGCCCTGCAGACAGCCTCGAGTACTGCACCCAGTTCTGGGGCCCCCAACACAAGAAGGACATGGACCT